ATAGTTGTGTGTCGTAGCTGCACATCCTTCTAGTTGCTGTATGTGGGACTCGGCCTCAGGATGAACGGAGAAGTGGTGCCTCGATGCGCACCCGGGCCACCAGCATCGCAGCGCGCGCACTTAACCACCAAGCCACAGGGCCGGCCGGAGACCAGTCTCTTCTTTATCCACCAAAGGGTTTATAATTATCTGGTTAACTGTGAATGATCATTTTTCTTAACTGGATTTATGACTCCATAGAGTTTATAAGCGTAAACAAACATGTGAAGCACTGGATTCTTTTCAGCAAGCACGCATATTTACGTATTTTTCTGAAAACATTTTCTCAGTGTAATCATTTTATATAAAAATCTGTCAATACCTGCTTTGTTGCATCGTGTCTGAAAAATTTCAAAAAAAGTTGGCCTCTCTTTGCATCCAATAGGCATTTTTATCTACAATATTACTCCAACACTTGGTAAATGAGTCTGCAAAAGAAAACACCAAAATACACTTTGCAGGGATGCAGTTCTTGTTAAGCGACTCTGAGGTAAAAACAGAAACGGGTAAACTTCCTCAAGTTGCAATGTTTATTTACCTCGGTCCCATCTTTTGGGTCAATAATCGAACTCACGGCGATGACGGCAGCATTCTACATTTGTGCTGTGCCATACACTAGCCACATTAAGCACTGGATATGTGGTAAGTGCGACTCAAGAACAGAATTTTTAATATTATTTAATTTTAATTAACTAGCACGTGTGGCTGGTGGCTGCGCAGTTAGCGAGGGCGCATATTAGAGATCAACACCATTTGACAATTCCAAATCAGTCAATCTTCACAATACAGCAATTAGCTGGGGGATAAGTCAGGCAGATACACTGCTCTAAAACATTTTCCAAAAGAGCAACATTCCGTTAAAGTAACTTTATCGTGTTTCCAATTAAGGAAATTTCAGACTGGGACAGCTGGGAGGCAAACCCTGAGGGGCGGGCCGGGACCAAAATCTGGGCATGGAGTCCCAGCAAAGGGGCGGGGCTCGCGTTTGCTTTGCGGAGACGCCTGTCCATCCGGCGGGGTCAGCGCGGGGCCGGGGGGACAATCGAGGCAAAAGCCCCGGCTCCCACCCCGGGCATGAGAGCCGCTCCCTGCCGCCCGAGACCGCGGAAGACAGGCCCGCCTCCACCCCAGCCGACACTAACCGCCTCCAGAGGTGCAGCTCTTTTGGCCAGAGTAGGGTGACGGAAACCACGCCGGCACTTAGACCAGAAACCTGACCCTCAGGCTTCCTTCGGCGGCGACCACTCTGCGCGACAACAGCCCAGGCGCGGAGCCCAAGCAGCTGCGCCTCCGCCGACCTTCTTTCATACGCTCGCGCCGAAAGCCCGCTCTCTGGGCACGCCACGCGATGACGCCGTGACGCGGCACGCACCGTGCGCGCCACCCGGAAGTCAGGCTCTGGCCGGGCCGGTGACGTCTCAGTTCGGTGAAAGCCAAATGTCTTTTCGATTGCGTAACATTCGGTCTGGAATCGCACGAAGAGGGAGCTGGGGTGCTTGTTCTCTTTTCCCCGAGCCTTCAGAGTACCGGACCGCGCCCCGGTTATACTCCCCGACTCCTTTCCCTTCTTTCCGCACCATCTCACGTGTGGGTGGCCGTCCTTGGGCACGGCCTGGGGTCTTGGAAAAGCCTTTGTTCCGTCCTTAGAGCCGGCGTCCCCCTAAAGTGGGCCGACCTTAGAAAACCCCAGGGTGGGCCGAGGTTGTGAACGACTCCCTTCCCGGCTGCTTGTTCGCTATAGAGGGGAAGGCACTGAGATTTGAAGCCCAAGTGCGTGTTGCTCTTAGGTAGCGGGTTTTCGAGACCTCAGAGCCTGTTTCCCCACGTGAAAAATTGTGAAACCCACCTTAACTCTCTCCTGCAGCGTTAGGTACTGCCCTCTGCAGGCTTCCGTAGTATCCTTTTCGTTCTTAAGGTACCCATCACCCTGGCTATGTCTGTCTGCCACTTCAAACTGCCCTGGAAGACAAGAATCTGTCCTTATCATTCTCAGGGTCTGTGACATGCCTAGCGCAAGGCTTAATTCGGGGTTGTTGTATGACCTAGAAAGCCTTCAATGGGATTGTGGAGGTGAGAGCTGCTCATGGGCCTTGTTGCTTCTGGAAGGCTCTTGAGTAAACAGCGGAAGCAATTTTGGGTTAGAAAAAGGGTTGGGCTCTACTTGGTTCCTTAGATGTCTAATTTTAGTTTGATCATCAGGAAACCTTACTAATACACATAGACACCAAAGCTCATGCTCACCTAGGTCTAGGTAACAAAGGAACACAGACCCGTGATCCTTATCTAATGAGAGCTACCACTTACTGAACATTTGTGACTTATTCTGCTTTGTGCTTCATAAGCAATATCACATTTAATCTTATAATAATCTTATAAATTGGATAGTATTGTCAGATGGGGAAATTGAGTCACCTAGTTAAGTAACTTGCCTGGTAACAAGGCGCAGATTTCAGTTCAAGTCCATTTGACTTCAGATACTTAAGTATCCTGCGATTAAATCTGCATTTACCCTCTAAATAAAAACAATTTGCTTTATTCCCATTTTGGGGAGGAGGTCTTCACTAGGGGTGGACTAATGAGAACTGTTGGCATGTCATACATCCTCTGAAATGTATTTTCTCTTACTATATATGCCAGCCCCACCCCCCCCAACTATGCTCCTTGCTCCTGTGGTACCAGGATCTTTATATTCATTTGCTATGCTATAATATACTTTCTTCCTTATACTCTTCTAGTGTGACTGTTCAAATAATTTACTACTTGTATTGGATTTACTATATGCTTCAAAACAGGATCTCTAAAATGGTAAGTTACTGTGGGAATAAAGGAATGAATTGCTAGTTAAAGCAAGTGTGTGAATAAGAAGTCAGAAATGAAAAACAGCTTTGAAAGAAAGATTCAGGAACAGTGAATTGAAGAGATAGGGAAGAGCAATTAGGAATCAGGTGGCAATTAGACCTCCATAAGTAGGTAGATCTCCTTCCCTCCTTCAATTAGGGTAACAGGCAGCAGCTCCCATCAGAATCGGAAATAAATGGAGAAGCTAGGGATGAACCTGAACCAACTTGACTAGGAGAAAGAAGGGGTGGATGAAGGTGGAAGGCAAAACAAGGACACAAAGGAACTGCACCAGGATGTTACGCTGTGCCTGGGCGCCTGGTGAGCGGATGGAGCGCTTTGTCCATGTGCCCTATGGCTTGTGCCAGGGCTATGGGAGCACACTGCCTTTGGGCCAGCCTGGACTCTCTGAGCACAAACAGCCCGACTGGAGGCAAAACACTGGACCCCCCACTTTCCTGGCCAGGCCAGGGCTGCTGGTGCCTGCGAATACCTCAGACTACTACATGGATCCTTACAAGAGGGCGCAGCTTAAGGCCATTCTCTCCCAGATGAACCCCAGCCTGAGCCTGCGGCTGTGCAAAGCCAACACCAGGGAGGTAGGCGTGCAGGTGAGCCTGCGGGTGGACAAGTCCGTGCAGTGCTCGCTGGGGCCTCGCACCTTGCGTAGCTGCTCCCCTTGGGGCAGCACGGGCCACAAGGCACCCTTGCCAGCCTGGGGAGTCTATACGCCAATGATTGGCTGCAGGGGCTTGATCCGAATGCAAAAGGATGGAGAAAATGAAGAGAGGAAGGTGCTTTCCAGTCCTGCAGAGGCCACCCACCAGCAGCAGCCACCACTAGTGCCAAGGTCGGAAGAAGATAAGCAGGAGGAACTCCCACAGCATGATGAGTTGGGGCCAGAAGACACTTCGAGTCCTCAGGAAAGGCAGAGCAAGCAGGCACAGGGAGACGCTACTGATCCACTCAGGAAACCCAACTTCCAGGTGAATTTTCTCTTCCCTCTCCTCTGTCCTCTGCTAGCCCCATCCTCTCCTTCCCCTTTTCCATTTCTGGGGCAATAAGACGAAAATAATCTCTGGCTTCCTCCCTTTATTTGATGAACGTGAGGAAGTTCTGAAAACATGTAGTATTTTACATGGCCTATGTGTTTTGTAACGTTTTGGTAAAATAGGGTGCCAACTTTGAGCATGTGAAAACAAAAAGTCTGGCAACCTTTGCTACTGGGAATGAGGAGACAAAGAAGGGTTTCAAGTCTGTGAAATATCTGATCAGATTTTTGGGAGGGGGTGATTGTGCTGGTGGCGTTGTGGAAAATGGATTGGAAAAGTGTGAGCAACAGCAGGAAGAATCTCAGTAATCCTTGAGAGATGAGATGCTAAATTAATGTAGTAACATTGAGAATGGCTATGAATGAGGTTAAGGAGGCTTTTTGTTTTTTCTTATACAAAGCCACAAGGAAAGAATGATCTGACTTTTTTCCCCAAGATAGTAAAAGACTTTTTCCACTTATTTGCAGTTTTTGGAACCAAAGTATGGCTATTTTCACTGTAAAGATTGTAAGACCAGATGGGAGAGTGCTTATGTGTGGTGCATTTCTGGAACTAATAAGGTAAGTAAAAGTGAGTGGGAGGTGGGAGGAGGATGAGGCGGACACAGATGTTAAGTGGAGAAAGAATATGTTTCCTGATGGAGCATGACCATGACGCTGTCTCATTCATCTTGGCATCCTCAGTGTGAGGCACATAATAGTTGTTTAGTAAATGTTTGAAGTGACCTGAATTGGACTGTCCACATGGGCTCCTGTGGCTCCTGAACCATATCCTGGTGTTGTATTTGCTTTGGTAGTTCTCTTGGACAAAATGTCAGGTTATTTAGATGAACCCTTGTTCTTGTGTACGTTGAAACTTTCTATAATCATTTTTTAGTTGGCATGTTTTGAACAGGTTTGGGCCTTAGCTCTAGGAAATTTCTACTGTGTGTCCACAAGGTGGGGCAATAAGAGAAATAATTTATTGTAAAGGATAGCCTGAGAGAGACTTTTAGGCTAAGACCACTTAATTTGAATTAGTTATCAACATATTAAGACTGGGAAAGATTTCACATTCTGCATTTCCAGATTTTCCTGAACAATCAGACTCTGGTCATTATAGACTCTTGTATCAATATGAGAATAGTAGGGCCGGCCCCGTGGCTTATCGGTTAAGTGTGCGCGCTCCGCTGCTGGCGGCCCGGGTTCGGATCCTAGGCGTGCACCAATGCACCGCTTCTCCGGCCACAATGAGGCCGCGTCCCACATACAGCAACTAGAAGGCTGTGCAACTATGACATACAACTATCTACTGGGGCTTTGGGGTGGGGGGAAATATGAGAACAGTAGACTGGGGCTGAACAGCTTCTGTCTCCTTTCACTGGATGTGTGCACTTCATTTTGCAACAGTCTACATCTAGTCTATTTCATTAACTTCTACAAGCATTTGAGTTTGAGTCCCTTGTGCTGTTACATTTTAGATACTGCTTTTCTGGCTAAAGGACTGTAGAGGGAGAGGGCAAGGAGGCAAGCTAAGACGTGAATGAAAACTTGACTTTTCACACCAGCCATTTACTAGACCCCGGAGGCAAATAGATTTTTAAACTAAACTAAAATTAACTTTCCTTCTCTTGCCAGAAGAAAAACAGTGGGTTTAATTCAAATACTCCAAGACTCCGGGATACAAAGAACAAGACATAGAACTCAACATCAAGAAATTTATTCTGATAGGAGTGACGCAGATAAAATGCAATTTGGTGATATATGCAGTGACACCCGTGGCATGGATGTGGTACAGAAATAACTCAGGCAGGGGATGATTAACCCTGTCGGAGGGAAGGCATCATGATGTCCAAGCAGGATTTCAAAAGATAAATAAGAGGAGTTCAAGTAAGGCAGGGAGAAAATGTGCACAAGAAAATGCACAAAGCATAGAAAACACGTGTATTGGTGGGTAACTAAATAAAGTTCAAGTGGGGAAATACTAAAAAAAATGAAAAAGTAGGGGCTAATAGACCAGGACAAAAGGAGAAAGGTTGGGCCCACACAGTGAGTAAAATTATAATAGCTACTTCCCATTGAAGACTTTTACTATGATACTTTATGTAAATCATCGGATTTGTTGTTTTTAGTGCTGTGGAATAGTGACCCTGTGTACAGCAGAGTGGAACCCTGTCTGGTTTTGGTTTTTTGTTTTTTGGGGTTTTTTTTTGTGCTATCCTCACACCTTCTGACACTATAGCAGACAATGCTCTGCTGCTATTCACACGGTTTTTCATGGCCAGTTTATTCCGAAGTGGGTGGCCAGGGCCTTCTTCCGAGTCTGTCTTAGTCTGGAAGCTCCGCTGAAACCTGTCCACCATGGGTGACCCTGCTGGTATTTGAAATACTGGTTGCATAGCTTTCAGCATCACAGCAACACACAGCCACCACGGTTGGCAAGCAATAGATGGGTGGTGTGGTTCCCTGACTGGGAAGCGAACCTGGGCTGCAGTGGTGACAGTGCCGAATCTTAACCAGGAGACCACCAGGGCTGGCTACGTTATTGGGTAGTTGTCAGAATTATAGAAAAAATAAGTAGTAGTATCTCGATTTTACAGGTAAGGAAAATGAGATTCAAAGAGTACGAAAAAGTGACTGTAGCACTAGAGGAGCTTAAGACCTGGGGGTAGAGGTTGGGCAAAAGCAAGGTTCAAGGTGAGAGAATGGATTACTTAAATTAACTGGGGGCCGAGGGTACATATAAACTTGTGTAAAAAAGGACAACTTTCTCTTTAGGTTTATTTCAAACAACTCTGTTGCAAATGCCAAAAGAGTTTTAACCCTTATCGGGTAGAAGCAATCCAGTGTCAGGTAAGCATATAGAACACTTCCATTGTGTCTATAATGTTTCCATTCTTAAAGATGAAGCTTCTGTGGCAAAATGTTAGGATTTGATAGAACTGGGTATTTGTATAGGAGTGTTAGGTTTTCTATACGTTTGGATTTTTATAATGTTTTAGGAAAAAAGCATAAATTCTACTTCTTTATGTGAGGGAAGATTTACTCTTTTAAGTTGCCTTATGTGATGTGTTTATGTATGGGGTATGTGTGTTTTTCTTCAAACACTCTGTGTATAGTTTGGATGTAGTAATTTAATAGGTGACCTTTGTTATGCTTTTACTATGTGCCAAACTTTGGGCTAAATGCTTTCAATGCATTATCTCTTGTAATGTAATCTTTGAGGTAGGTGTTATCCTCACATTACAGACCAGAAAGCTAAAGTCCAATAAGAAAATAACTTGCCCAAGGTTGGACAGATAGTAAGTATTAGAGCTGTGATCAGATTCCACGGTGTCTCCAGTGTCTAGGAAGTCACAGAATTAGATGAGATCTTATCTAAAAGTTTGCAGGAAACCTCTCTTTAAGCTTTTCTGAAATATGTGACTTAGCTGATTTTCATAATCAAGAGTTTTTTTAACCTAAATCCTTCATTTAGTTAAAAACATTTCTTCTTTTTTATACTACTTAGAAATAAGTGATATTTTAAAAACTAGTTTTAATAGTTTATAAATGATTTATCCTTAGATTTTTCTAGTCTGACTTTCTCATTTAGTCTGTTCATGTTTAATATGGTAAATTGGATTTAAATATATTTTTGTACTATTTTCTTATACTTTGTTTTCTTTTTTCTTGTGTTCACTTGAATTTATATATATGTTTGTTATTCTTCCCTCTGTTATCTTGGTAGTTTTTCATTCTTTAATGTTCTTCTGGTGGTTACCCTAGAGAGTACAACATGATTCTTTGACTTATCAAAGTCTACATAAATTGTTCATCTTACCTCTCCTTGACAATGCAGTGACCTTACAACGCTCTAACTTCTTATCACTTCATTCTAACTTATATGCTACTGTTGTGTATATTTTAATTTTAAACTCACAAGACATTATTTTATATAGTCATTATTCATTTAGTTTTAGCTTATTTATTTTTTCTGCTGCCCTTAGGTCCTTTTTGTATCTAGGACCACTTTCTTTTACCTGAAGTACACATTTTAATATTTCCTGTAGTTCAGGTGACACATTTTATTTTGTCTGGATAGCTTTTTAAAGGATGTTTTTGCTGGGTGTAGAATTTTAGGTTGGCAGTAGTTTTCTTTCTGCCCTTTAAGGATCTGACCTTCATTGTTTCTGTGAAGATGGCTATTTAGATCTATTGAAGCTCCTTTGAAGTACTTTCTCTCACGCTTTGTTACATCTGCTTGCATTTAAGATTTTTCTCTCTGCTTTGGTTTTCAGCAGTTTTACAACAAAATGCCTAGTTGTGGTTTCTTTGTATTTATCCTGTCTGAGATTCATAGTGTTTCTTGAATCTGTAGCTTGAAGATTTTTATCACTTTTGGAGAATTATCACTCATTATCTTTTAAAATATTACTTCTGCCCCATTCTCTTTTTCTTCTAATTACTTATATTAGACCTTGTACCATATCCCTTATGCCTTTTATGCTCTTTTCTATATTTCCTATGCTTTTGTCTCTCCTTGCTTCATTTTGCATATCATCTACGTAACTGTATTTCATTTCTCTAATTCTTCCCTCAGCTCTTTCCAGTCTGCTATTAAACCCATCCATTGAGTTATTGATTCAGTTATTGCATTTTTCAGTACTAGAATTTTTATCTTTTTAAAGAAAATGGCTTCCAGTTTTCTGCTAGAAATATTAGTCTCATTTCTTTGAACATATTAAGCATTTTAAGATAATTATCTTAAAATCTGTATCAGATAACTCCATTAACTTAATCCACTATGGTTCTGTTGCCATCCTCTTCATTTTCCTTGGTTTTCAAGTATATTATTCTGTCTCCTCATACACCTTGTTATTTTTGATTGAGTGCTAGATATTGTATATGAAAAATTATAGTGATAATTTGAAGCCTAGGATAGTATCTTGAGAGGATTTATTTGCTTCTGGCAGGCAGATGGGGACACTAGCAGTTTCAGATCGCTATTTTCCAATCAAAGTTGAACTGTTTTGAAGCTGGGCTTTGGCATCTGTGAAGGCTGTCAATTTTTGGTTTATCCTGTATCCTTAGTGTATAGCCTTGGAGGGTCTCAACACAAAACCTGCATTGTTTACCAGGGCTCTTTCATTTTGGCATATTTAATATTATTCCTCAGCCTCATCAACTCATTCAACTCATTTTCAGCTTCCTACTGTCTTTCACCTCTTCCAGAATTGGCAGCTACCTTTAGAAATACCTCCCAAATGTCAGGCTCACTTCTGTTTCTGGATTTCCTTCTCTAATGCTTTGATAATTCTCCAGTGCCTTCAAATTTTTTTTTTTTTTTTTTTAAGTATTGTTGTATTATTAGTTTTTTTTAGCTGAGCTTTTCTAGTTGTCCTAAGCAGGAGGCTTGGTCAAAACTACCTAATCCACCATTGCCAGAAATGGAAACCTACCTTTAGAGTAAATCTTGATTTTTTTTTTTTTTAATTGAGCCTTTTCTTCCTTATAAGTGTATTGTGAGGATTAAATGAAATCTATATAAAGTACTTAGAACAATGCATATAGTAAACACCATGTAAATACTAACTATTTGAATTTTCTTTTAAGAATGCACACTCATAAATGGAAGGGTAGAAGATGTAAATGTAGTACAACATTTGATAAATCATATTTAAGACTTATTTGGAAAATAAAAATGCCTGTTTTCACAATATTAAAGGTAAAGCTTGACTTGTTCTATTCGGCTATGGACATATGCAGAAAACAGAGTGGTGATAGCAGTTTCAAAGATTAGCAAGGTTGGGAGGGTGGACCAGGGCAGTATGCCAGTCTCCATGGGATATGATTTTTATTTTTCAGAAGACAGAATGGGCTAATGGTTAAAAACACTTTAAATTCTGGTAAAGATTAGGCATGTCCAGAAAGAAAATTTAGCTTCTTCTAGAACACCCCTCCCTCCTAGTTGTGACAGCCCAATATATCTCCGGACAGTGCCAAATGTCAGCTGGTGGGTAAAATACCATGGGCTGAGAATCACTGCTCTAGTGCTTTTAAATTTTCCAGTCTAGATAGTCAAATCACTTCATATTCACTCACTGCCCCTCGTCCCCTCCTGGCTACAAAGGTAAAAACCTACATAGTGAAGACACTCTACAAAACTCTAACTTTTAAAACTTTTCTCTTATATGTTCTTGATTGGCTTAGCAATATTCTCTTAAACATCATGTTTGATCACCCATTTTGAAAAATGCATGGCATTTAATGGAACAGGAGTGGTTTTGTACAACTTGGTCTTGGATTTCTCATAGGATGCAAAGGAGGATGAACATATCAGGGATGGGGTGGTGGGGAGAAGTATTCTGATTTGAGGATTACATTTGAAACACTAATTTGATCATTTAGTGTCCAAACTGTTCCTTGTTTTCTAAAGACCTGTTCAAAGTCTCGTTGTTCCTGTCCTCAAAAGAAAAGACACATTGATCTAAGGAGGCCTCATCGACAGGAACTGTGTGGCCGCTGCAAAGACAAGAGATTCTCCTGTGGCAATATTTACAGCTTTAAACACATTGTGTGACAGGCAGTATGACTTGTACAGGACACCTGAACTCTTCTTGTAACTTACTGTACTGTTCCTTTTTTGCAACTTAGCTCTGACCTGAAACTGGAAAATGGATTCGGCTTTTGTACTTTTTTGTAGGTTGTGTAACAATTGTACAATGTGAATAAAATAAATGCATGTAAAATAGACCATGAAGACACGTTAATTGGTGAACCTGGGGTAGAAACATCAATATAGCATTGGGAAATGGTAGATACTGTCACTAATATGAAGGGAACAGTGAAGGGGAATAATAGTCATTCATTTGACAAACTTTTGTAAGCTGGGTGTTCTAAGCACTGTGAATATAGAGACAATCAAAGGGCAAGGTCCTTGCCTTCAAGTATACGTAATAATTATAGCGGATGGTTAAACAGCACTTAGTATGTGCCAGGCATTGTTGTAACTCATCACAGCAGCCATGCTCAGTAGGAACTATTATACTCCTCAGTAGATGAGAGGGAGCCATAGAGAGGTCCTAGGGTAGGGCCAGGACTTGAACCCAGGTAGACTAGGACTTGCTCCATGGCTTTAACTACTACATTTATATTTTTTTCTCAGATTCAGATGTGGTAAGTGCTGTGAAGGAAACAGAGTGCTATGAGAGTGACCCTTTTAGATATGGTGGTTGGGAAGAGGCAACATGAGAATTGAAACCTCCAGGCTGAGGGAGCTGGGAGAAGAGAAGGTAGTTTTGATCCAAGGGAACAGCAAGAGCAAAGGCACTGAGGGGGTGGGACACATACTTGACATGTCCCAGGAGTAGGAGCCCCTGAGGCTAACGTGAGGCATAGGCTGGGGAAGACTGGGCTCAGGTCACAAAGGGTTCTTTCAGCCATGGTCAAGCAATATGGCAGCCCATGAAGGGGTTTCAATTAGGCAGTGACATCAGATTCTTTTCTTTTCTTTTTTTTTTGTGAGGAAGATTAGCCCTGAACTAACATCCATGCCAATCCTCCTCTTTTTGCTGAGGAAGACTGGCTGTGAGCTAACATCTATTGTCAATCCTCCTCCTTTTTTTGCCCCCAAAGCCCCAGTAGATAGTTGTATGTCATAGTTGCACATCCTTCTAGTTGCTGTATGTGGGACGTGGCCTCAGCATGGCCAGAGAAGCGGTGCGTCGGTGTGTGCACAGGATCCGAACCCGGGCCGCCAGTAGCAGAGCGTGCACACTTAACCGCTAAGCCACGGGGCCGGCCCGACATCAGATTCTTTAAAAAACTCACTGCTGTGAGGGAAGACTAGGTAGAGTGGAAGGAGGGAGACCGGTTAGGAGGTTAGTGAACACACGAGCAGATGATGGCTTGGACAAGGGTGGTGGCCATGGAGATGGAGAGAAACACATTGATTCAAGATAATGTTGGAAAATGTAATGTACAGGATTGGAAGTGGGTGATGGAGAAATAAATGATGACTTTCAGATTTCTGCTTTGAGCTATGGGGCGGATGGAATTGAGAGGTATAACAATTGGGAGCATGTTCTGGAGTTAGCTCACCTAACTTCAAATCCTAGGTGTGGTACTTAGGAGATGTATGACTGTGGGCAAGTTAGTTACTCTTTCTGTCTCAATTACTCTTCTGTAAAATGGGGATAATAATAGTACCTGTCGGGCCGGCCCTGTGGCTTGGTGGTTAAGTGCGCGCGCTGCGATGCTGGTGGCCCGGGTTCGGATCCCGGGTGCGCATCGAGGCACCACTTCTCCGTTCATCCTGAGGCCGAGTCCCGCATACAGCAACTAGAAGGATGTGCAGCTACGACATACAACTATCCACTGGGGCTTTGGGGGGAAAAAATAAAATAAATAAAATCTTTAAAAAAAAAAATAGTACCTGTCTCTCGGTGGTGGTGTGAGGACTAAAGGAACTGATACATGTTAAGCACTTAGGATCGTACCTGTAACATTGTGAGGGCTCAGTAAACTTAGCTGTTATTATTTTGGTGAGGCTGTGAGGTGAGATGGGGGAGGGCTTCTGTTTTCCACATATTAAGTTTGGAATATTTGAGACATCCAAATGGACATTATGCAGGCTATTGAGTATATGAATGGAATTTAGGAGGGAAGTCAGAGCTATAGAAATAAAAAATATTTGGAGATAAAAAATATATGGGATTTAAAGCTGTGGACCTGGATGGGATCACCTGGGAGGAGAGCACAGCACAGTGCCCTGGGGCACACCCACATTTAGAGCAATGATTCTAAAACTTGAATGTCCCAGGAGTTATCTGGTGATCTTGTTAATTGGAGATTGTGATCCAGTAGATCAGGGGTTTGAAACTTTGCAAATCTAACAAGCTCCCATGTGCTATCAATGCTGCTGGTCCCCTAGACCACACTGTGAGTAGCAAGAAGTTAAGAGGTTAGATAGAAAAGGTCAAGAGGGTTAGGATGAGGATGGTGTCATGAAAGCGAAGATAAAACAGTATTTCGAGAAGGAGGGAGTGATCGACTGAGTCAAATCCTGCGGTGAGTGAGAAAGATGAAGGTAGACATGTCCGTAGGATTTGGCAACATGAATGTAACTGTGATCTTGAAAAGAGAAGTTTCAGTGGAATGTGGGGGATGGAATCTAGAGTTGTTAAAGTCAAGACAGTGAATAGAGATAATACTTTCTAGAAGTTTTGCTGTTAAGAAGCAGAGAGATTGGTGATAGCCAGAAGGGCATTTTGGGGAAAAGGGAGGTACTGAGTAAGTTTGTATATTAATGGGAATAATTCAGTAGAGAGAAGTTGATGGTACAGCAGGGAGAGGACAAGCCCACAGGAGCAAAGCCCTTGAAAAGGGAGAAGAGATGGTGTACAGAGCACAAGTGGAGTGATTAGGCCTGAATGATATTCTCTTTATTGGAAAAGGATGGAACACCTAAAATGTGGGGCTGGTTAAAGATAGGTTTATAGATTGAGGGGTGAAGATGAGACCATCTGATTTGTTTTATTCAATGAATTATGAAGCAAAGTCATCAGCTGAGGCTGGTAGGAAGGGGAAGGGGTGGGAAGCTGAGGAAGGAGAGCACGGTGTGAAATAATTATCTCAGGTACTGGGAATTTGAAATTATCAGGGAGGTGTAATTGTACTATAGGACTGCTGAGAGCTCACTCTGAGAGTTGGTGCTGTTTGAGATATGCTTGGTTGCAGTTGTGTTCTAGTAATGTCACACTTAAGCAATTCTGGTGCAAGTGTGGAAGGGGTCAATCTTAGGTTTAACTAGTTGAGTAAGACAGAGGTAAGATATTTGTGAATGTCAGCAAGGGAGTGATTAGAATCCATGGAATTTAAACTTGTTCAGAAGAGGGGTGAAGTTAGGTCATGAGTAGTGGAAAAAGTAGCAAGGTCTACAGATTGTTGTTCATGATGGGGGAAGAATTGTTAGAAAGGGTGAGGGGCCAGAGTAAAAGGAACTAGAAGGATTCCTGAGTGGAATGCTTGAAGATGAGATTCTGGAGCTGGTCTACTTATTGCTATGGATAGGGTTTTGGTATAGCCATGAAATTGGGTGGCCAAGGTGGAGTGGAGGGGAGTGAAGACCCTCTGGAGGTAAGAATGTTAAAACTGAGAGGAAAAAGATTTTGTGTGGGTTATCCATGAGGATGTTGCAGTCCCTGAGAATGGTATCTGAAGTTGGGGTGAAGAAGAAGGCAGTGAGCAATAAGCTATAGTCTATTCAGTGAATGAGGGGGTGTGAGGAGGGCTTTAGATCAGCAGTTCTCAACCACAGCTGGAACTTACAATCATAGGAGGAACTTTATAAAGTAACCATGACAGGGCCCTACCCTCAGGGTTTGATTTAAGGGATCTGGGGTGGGGCCCGGGCCTCAGAATATTTTAAAAGCTTCCCCGATGATTCTAATGTGGAGCCAAGGTTCACAACCACTCCTGTGGGTGATGATGATGGGCTTGAGGAAGGAGGATCACTCGTCCAGCTGGGTGGCATGAATTTCAAAGTCTCTGGGCTTCTTGAAATAGAAATGAAGAGAGAAGGGTTGGAAATAGTGGAGGAGAGGGGAGCAAGGAGTTGTTTTCTCAACCTCACGGCTCAGTAACTCCTGGAAGTTGGTGGAGGTGGCTCAAGGTCTTGGAACCCGAAGTTAGTATACAGTCTTAGAGCAAGAGTTTGCTGTTAAAAGCAAGGTCTGGGCTAGAGGAGATGGTGACAGAGAAGGAAGCGTCTGCCAGGAAACAGATCGGTAAGTGGACTGCCTTGAATTCTAGCTACTCACTTCCTGTGACCTCAAATACAAAACAAAGTAACAAGTCAATGACAGATTTCTGGTTGAACTGCTACACAAACAGCCTAAGTGGAAAAATGATTGGGGTTGTGCTTTAGAAGAAAGAGCACTTTGCTGAGGAATGAGTTTCTCCTAATTCAGTGCCTTTCGAAATGAGATGGTTATTCAAATGCTGATTTGACGGACTCTGCTCTGCATTTACCTGAGGGAATCTTCATTTTTGACAAGCACCCTCTGGTGGTTTTTAGGTTTGAGAACCCTAAAGCCGTGTTTCAATCTCAGCAGCTGACCAATGAATCAGTCTCTGGAGGGTGAAACCTGTGTATTGGTGTTTTAAGTTCCCCACATGATTTAATGTGCAACTAAGGTTTCAAACTCATTGCACTACACTCTGATTCTTACAAGAAAGACAGGTGAGTATCCTAATTTTTCCTCAGGGGCTTTAAAAACCATGTCTTTAGTCCAGACTTCTCAACCATGGACTCCCATATCCACCCATTTGCTCACCATCTTGTCTTGGATGTCTGATTAGGCATCTCAAAGTTATGTCTGAAAATTAAATCTTGATTTCCACCTCCCAAACCTGTACTTCCTCATCTCCATAAATGGCAACTCCATTCTTCCAGTTGTTTGGGCAAAACTTTGGAGTCTCTCACATTCCACATGTCATCATCAAGTCCTGTCAGCTCTACCTCTGAAGTATTTCCAGAACAGGCCCACTTCTGATGATCTCTGTTGCTACTGCCCTAGCCCAAGCAGTCATCACCCACTGACTGTACCACTGCAGTATCCTCTAACTGCTCTTCCTGCTGCTGCTTCTGCCCTTCTGTAATCTATTCTGCGTGTAGCAGCCAGAGTGATCCTTTTTAAAAAATCTATTGTGGTAAAATATATAACATGAAATTTACCATTTTAAAGTGCACAATTCAGCGGCATTAAGTACGTTCACAATGTTGTGTAACCATCATCACTGTCTATTTCCAGAACTTTTTCATCATGCCAAACACAATGATCCTTTTAAAACATAGGTCAAAGCATGTAACTGCTCTGCCGCCATCCAGTGGCTTACGACTTCACTCAGTAAAGGACCAAATCCTTCCTGGCCCCCATAACCCTTTCTGCCATCCTCTCTGACCACTCTCCTCTTCACTCACTTCACTCTGGTCACTGGCTTCCTTCCTGTCCCTTCAACAAGGGGATCATGCTCCTGCTTCAGGATCTTTGCATTCGTTTTTGCCTTTGCCAGAATGCTCTTTCCCCCAGATATCCGTGCTGTAGCCTCACTTCATTCAGACCTCTGCTCAGACATCATCTTATTACAAAGGCTTCTCTAACTCCCTTTCTGAAATAGCACCACACCCCAGTTACTCTCTCGCCTGGTTTTGTTCTGCACGGCAGTTAACACCACCTGGCACAGACAAACAAGTACCTCTTCCCCCACTAAAATGTAAGCTACTTGAGAACAGCGATGTTATCTGTTTTGATAACTGCAGTATCCTTGAAATAGTGCCTAGCCCAGAGTGGGTATGCAATAAATATTTGTTGAATGAAGGGAAGAACTCAGCTCATGATAGGTATTCAAATATTAATCTTAACTAAGTGTATCAAAAACTTAAAAAAAGAACCTAGCTTTATTGAGATATAATTAACATACAATAAAATTTACCTGCAGACCCTAACATTTATGTTGTTCTTCAGGCAGGTTTTTGGAAGCAGGTGTAAGCTATTGATGTAGGCAGCCTAGAGGTACCCTTATTTCTATAATTCTACAGTTCACTGAAAAGACCAATGTTTGTTAGGATTTGGAACCAGAAGAGCCTTAAGACTTGACTGTGTGTGTGTGTTTGCGTGCGCACGTGATGCTAACAGTTACAAGCATCTTTATTTCACAGCTGCACTAACACATTTTCTTAACATTCTCACCTATTGGTGGGAATAAGACATTCACATGCCTCTAAAATGTATGAGGCTTTTTCTAAAACACTCTATTTAGAGACTGTAATTTGAATCAGGTTATGTCTAAGTTATAGTGCACCTATCTGAATTGCTTTATTATTCCAGTGGATAAAAAGCAATGTTATAAACCAATGTTACTGCAATAAACAAAAAATTAAAAAAAAAAAAAGCATATTATGTTTTGGTGCTAGAAAGCACTGAGAAACAAGGAGGCATTTCTCTTATCATGGAAGCGTCTGTTAGGTATCTACCCTCTCCTTTTGGAGGATTTCTCTACTTCCCCTCTCCTCTCCATTCCTCTGTGTCCCGGGGGAAGTGAAAATTAATGCTTCAGTAATAGAGGCACAAAACAATACCCAAGGAGATTTGACTGTGGATCTGAAGTGATTGCTGGGCTCAGGTGGAGTAGGGCTGCAGCTTTCAAGGGCCTTTCTCCTGCACAGTTTCTCCCACCTCCACTCAAGGGAGAGGAGGTGAAGAAATAGAGGAAAAATAGAAGAAATCTTTTACATTAACACATCCTTTTCTTTTGTAAAATTAAGAAAAAAAGAGAAAAAACCCCCACTACTTCCTGTATTTCAGCAATATCCAGAAAGTTAATAAAATCAGTTAATAGTTGTATCCATGGTAACATAAAAAAAAAAATACTAGGTCAGACTCCCTGTTGCAGGATACGTCTAGAAAATTACTACTTATGATTTAGTCATTGTATGTGAGGAGAGCAAGTTATATTTGTTAGTCAAGTAAATATGAGTAGGAAGACAGTAGAAATTAGATTGTGTCTCTGTGTCCCTGTTTTTTGAGTGGAGTGGAGACTACCTGGATGTTGGTGACAGAATTAATTAAAACTCCTACTACTTCTTGCTCAGTATAGAGTCTGTTCAGTATAGAGTCTGTTTTGAAATTTTAAGGATGACAACCTAATGATAGGCTGTGGACAATCAGAGCTCTTACTCTTCTCTGATTTCTTTCTGATTGATTACAGAGAGAGCTGATTGAAGTTCACAGTCTTTGTCTGGTGTCCACTTCCAAAGAAGTTATAGATACCTCCTGCTTCACAGAGTCACTGCCCTGCACAACCCCAGTGGGTGCCATTCATGGAACACATATGAATGGTGCCCCTTGGGGTTGTCACTGTGGCAACCCACATGCAAAACTGTAAATGCGTGTCAAAGGCAAAAATCTTCATTAGCCAGAAATAAAATCCATGGTCAATATGTATTTTGTCTTGTTTTTTTTTAAGTCTAAAGGAAGTTCTGAACATAATATCAACCAAGATTACATCACAAAAACTTTAAATGTATTTACAGAGTGAATAAGTTACATAGATAAACTTTGAATATGTTTCCGATGTGCAGTAGGTTTACATGCACACATCTAACACTTGACAGCATTAAGTTTAAGGAGAAAACTTAAGAATGGCCTTTTACATATATATTACAAATAAAATATGACATTTCTTAAACAAAGTGACAACTCATTTTACCTTTATGATTCTACTTCTGGCTATCCAAATGGATATTAAAATACGCATGCGTGACAGGTGGAAAGACTTGGAATTTATAATGTGAATGTCTTTAACTTTTTTCTACAAAATGGCAAAATTGGTTAAAATTAACACTCATCCTTCTGTGTATAAATATGCCCATAAAAGCAACCTTCTAGTAAAAAGCAGCCAAGATCCTTAAAAAAAAGTCTTATCTCGACCATTTTTGGTGCTAGGGTCCTAATCACAGGCCCCTGCAGAGAGATCCAGGGCTTTCAGAAACAGTAGCCTAGCAACATAAGAAAGGTACTTCATAGCAGCTCCATAATGCAGTTAATTGTATTCAAATTACAGTGTACATTAAATTGTCCATTTACAATTCCGTTTTCACATATACAGGCTGTCAGCTTTTGACCATCTTATGGTTTTCAGTGGCCAGCTTCATTCTGCCTGTCCCTTCTTCAGCCCACCGAAAAAAGAAAAAAAAAGGAAAAATAAAGGAAAAGAATGTACAAGTTTTAGAATATAAAATATTTTTTTAGTGAAGAAAACATTGCACTTTTGCCAATCTAAAATTGTTTCTAGAAAGGAAGGTATTGTTCAGTGTAGTCGGCTTTGGTATGCAATGGAAGTCATTTCTTCAGTAGTGAGTTGCATTTGCTCAGTAAAATGGTAACACGTTAGTCCCACACAGCATGACGGATGGAGGCTGTCACAGCATGTTCTATGCTGCCTTGGTTCTTATAGTATTGCTACACGTTGGAAGTTCTGCCATCCTCTTTAGAAAAAGTCCTACAGGTAACAAGACAGAGAACAGTCTGACCAAGCCTTCCGAAGGCTGAGAAGACACTGAATGACGTCACCCCAGCATGGCAGCACCCCCAGTTTGGAACGCATGGGGGACCGGAGGCTCCTGTCAGAGACTAGTGCCAGAAACACTGGAGTCTGGAAGAAAAGCAGTGAGGACTCGGTAACTCTGAGCCCTGCGAATCATGTCCCGAATCTCCATGTTCAGCTCCATCAGCTTGGTGCAGATTTCGGTCAGGCTCTGGTTTGACCCCACCAATGCATAAGTACCCGTTTGTCCTAGAGTTTGATGACGGAAATAAATATTCAGTAGTGTCTGGACCTCATCATCAGAACTGCTTCCAAAGATGTCATTGGGCCACAGACTTCTGCAGTCAAAAAAGCACAGCATAGATTAGAGGCACTGTTGGTCACCAAGTTGAGAGGTTATGAGCCTTCATTAGTGTAAGAGTGTTACAGCTTTGTTGAGACATAATTCCCATATTATACAGTTAAAAAAGTACACAATTCCATGGCTTTTAGTATATTCAGAGCTGTGCAAACATCACCATAATCAGTTTTAGAATACTGAATATTATTGGTTTTGATAAAAATAAAGTATAAAAGTATCAGAGTGGAATCTGATAATCTTAACACATTTATCTTATTTGCTATAGCATTCTGGTTCCAATGATTGTGAATATACTATCAAAATGTAGGGGGAAAAAACAAAAAAGGATACATTCAAATAATAGTTTTCAAATTATGTCGGGGTATACTTTGAAGTGTTTCAACATTTTCAGGGATGACACATGACCAGAACCAACACCAATACTTTAGATATAGAAATTCTGAAATCTGATGCTTCTGGCGCAGTAACGGTAAAAATCTGAGAAGGAGGTATATAAAATATCTAGATGTTCCCTCTGTAGCGATTTAGTCCCTAGCCACGACAAAGTAATGATTAGGCGTGCATTTCCTTTACCCATCTCTAAGAGAAATAGAGTTACCTGCATTCCCTGATTTGCCGTAAAGCCTTGCCAAGTTCATTGTTCTTCAAGCACTCCAGCATGGACTGGATGGCTGCTTCAGTGGACGTGAAGGTTGGCTCAGACCACGCACCCTCTATATAGAGAGGGTCAGCTGCAATGGCTGCAGTGGCCTCCTTCAGGTTTTTCTTTAAGTCACTCAGTTCCCTGGACATATTTAGCAGCTGTTAAAAAAATTATTTTTACTTTATTTAGTTGCAGACTGGATTTTACACCAGTAAAATCTTGATTATGTGGGTCTGGTTAAGTACAAGCTTAATATCTTGATAAACTAAAAAAAGACAAATGAAACTATACTACATGGTATGTGTAGGAGGCTGTGGCGTTGTATGCACTGGATAACTATCAACAGCTGGGATGCTCTCCTTATATAAAAACTAAGACTTCCTTTACACTTTTCTGTTTTTTTTTTCTTTTTAAAGATTTATTTATTTATTTATTTATTTATTCCCCCCAAAGCCCCAGTAGATAGTTGTATGTCATAGCTGCACATCCTTCTAGTTGCTGTATGTGGGACGCGGCCTCAGCATGGCCGGAGAAGTGGTGCATTGGTGCACGCCCCGGATCTGAACCTGGGCCACCAGCAGCGGAGCGCGTGCACTTAACCGCTAAGCCACGGGGCTGGCCCTACACTTTTCTATTTAGGTAGAAAGGCATATGCAGAAGTAAAACGCATAAGAGAACAGGCTTGGAAGTTGGGTCGATCTGGATGCAAATGCTGATTCTGCAGTGTACTGTGGGGCCATTGTTAAGTAAATAGACTTTTATGTGTCTCAGTTTTCTTATTTGTGGGACTGAAGATATCACCCACCTCAGAGGGTTATTTTGAAGATAAAATGAGATAATGTACATAAAATGCTTAGTACAGTTCGGCACATAAGTACTCAATAAATATGAACATGGACGCTGTTTGAAAAATAAATTTTTCTTACTATTTCTATGTCATAGGAAAAGATTAAAGATATAATTTTAAGGAAGAGGAGGAAAAATCTCAAAGTAATTTTAGTATTCATATTACAGAGGTAAAAGATATTTTCCTTCAGAATTACTGGAATCAAACGGTTCCGACTGTTAAAAAATAAATCATGAGAGAGAACCTATGTCACCTCTTAGTGCTCCCAAAATGTACTATGGGAGACAACTGTTTTGCAATTTGATTTCAAGAGCATTTGTAAAAGACTGACTTGAATTTAAAGGGTTTTTCCCCTTTGTGATGCAAGCTGATGATGCCCGTTTCCTTTGGAAAGTTGGTTTACCCAACATCTTCACTTTTCTTCGTCATTCCCAGCTTGCTCAAGCTGTGCGCGCTATAGAACCGAGGCCCTCAAGGACTAGTGTCTTCACAGGTGCCTGTTAAATACAGCTACCTACTCCTGAACTAGGTTTAAAATGTACTGAGGTAATCCTTTTTTATTTTTATAATTTTATTTATTTATTTATTTATTTTCCCCCAAAGCCCCAGTAGATAGTTGTATGTCATAGTTGCACATCCTTCTAGTTGCTGTATGTGGGACGCGGCCTCAGCATGGCCGGAGAAGCGGTGTGTCGGTGTGCGCCTGGGATCCGAACCCAGGCCACCAGCAGCGGAGGGCGTGCACTCAACCGCTAAGCCACGGGGCCGGCCCTGAGGTAATCCATTTAAGTAAGATATTAGAGTATCTTTTGTACGTAATTTTTAACTTTGAAAATGAATTTGTCTTTAATTATTTAAAATCTAGGTAAGTTTTAAATTGTGTGTATAGTATTTAAAACTTACCTAGATTTAAAGTAATTGAGGAGAAATTCACTTTAAACTTACTAAGTTTTAAATAATTGTATATATAATATATACATACACGTACATATATTATATACACACACGGTATGTAACACATTAAACTTACTCTAAAGTGAAACTTGAATTGCTTTTTAAATATAGAAAATGACATATGAGTTGCATTTGCACGTCTTCCATTTTTTGAGCAAAGATGGACTCCTGTTAATACTTGCCAGAAAAGTAAACTTTATCTTGACAATGTAGCAAATAACAGGATCAACTGTCTTCTCTTTCATCTGATAATTTGTAATTCTATGGAGGAAACTGGTTTGTGAAGAGCTCTTCATAAACAAAGATGTCTGACTCATGCCTTCCTTGAAATTGGCATTTGAAAGTACACTTAAAAATTATACAGTTATTTTCCTTTTTTCAAACTGAGGAATAAACATGGTAACATGGTTCTCATTTGCTGTCTCTTCCTCCTCTTCCCCTCGTCAGACGTGAGGTTTCAGGGCTCATCCTCACCCCACTGCTCGGGATGGGATCATTTCATGGACTCCTGGCTGTTCAATGACGACTACCGCAACTGTGCCTTCAGCCCAGCCCTCTCCCTTGATCTCATATCCTCATATTTAACCACCTGCAAGATGTCGTTAAACCTGGGCATGATCTAGTAGGCAGGACTCAAGTCATTGACCAGCAGGCAGAAGGCTTGACCATTTGGATGTACAGCTGCCTCAGACCTTCTTTTATATCCCTGTCTCAGCTGTGGCACCGCTGGTCACTTATTTCATCTGAGATGGAACCTGAGCATTGTCCTCGAGGCTTCCCTCTACTTCACCTCCCTACCCAATGGCTTTCATTGACCTTTTGTCCTAAATATCTCTCACATTTCCTTCCTCCTCTCCATACCTAGTACTTCTGCCCTAGGTCAAACTCTCATTTCTCATCCGAGCTGTTTCAGCAGCCTCATAATTGGTTTCTCTGTCTCCAGTCTAGTTGTAATCAAATCCACCCTCCACATCCCTGCCATAAAAATCTAACTGACATACTCCCAGGTGCAGCATCTTCCATGATCTCCCCCTTATTATCTCTTCCGCCTGATTCCATTGCTCCCTTCTGCTTTGCATTTTATATCCTAGCTATACTAAATTGCTGGTACCTGTAGTTTCTTTGTCTTTCTTACCACCATGTTTATGCCCATGCTGTTTGTTCTTATTGGAACGCTTTTCCTTAGCACTGACTTCATCTCTCTAACTCCAGCTCATCCTTCAAGAATCAGCTCAGGTGTGATTTCCTCTAGAAAACTTTCCTATTTCAACCTCGTGGCCTCCAGGTGAGCTAGGCACTTGTCCTCCGTGCTTCCATAATATCCGGGGCACACCACCATTATTTCACTTACTACATTGCAGTAGTATTTTTTCACTTATAAGAAAATTTTGGCTCACTCAGAAGTAGTATGTTTAAGTTATTTTACGTTTTACATTTAGAAATATTAGTGCACCCTGATGGTAAAGCAGGGCAAAGAAGCTGAAGAGAGTCAAACATAATATAGATAATTTCCTTCTTACCTCAATGTAAGGGCAGGTACGAAAAGCTAAAGATAAAGAAGGAAAACCATAACACAAGGAACTTTTTCAAATAAGGATGCCCAGACACAGGGCCAGGATCAGGGTGAGGTGAGCGAGGCCCCTCGGCATAGCATTTAGGGAGGTCCTTAAAGCTTGTGCCTAGACACATCACTTGCCTCACCCTAGTCTTGGCACTGCCAAATGAGCAGAGAACTAAATACAAGACACTATTATTTAAGACTTGTGCTTGAGCAAAATAATTATGTGGGAATAAAATCACTTGAATCATTATAAACTGGTGGGGGTAGAACAAAAGGAAAGGAGTGATGTTCGTGGCAGGACTTTGGGTCGGGAGGTGTGTGGGCTCACCTCTGGCATGGAGCTGACTTCATGCACCTGGCCGATGAGCTTACAGTAGGACTGAAAAAGCAGCAGCAGCTGGAAGTGTAGCTTGTATAATCTCTGACACAGTTCCAATTGCTAAGGAGAGAATTTGCATGGGAAGAAATAGTTATTAAGGATTATTTTTGTATAACAAGTGGAATCTTGATGAAGACAAGCACATTTTTTTAAAATCAAGGAAACATAACTAGCTGTTATCATTCCAAATAAAACAGAGCAACAAATCCAGTCAATAAAGATGAGTGCGAAATTCACAGTATAATATAGAATAAAATAGCTCCTGGAAGATGACTAATTAGAGAGGAGTAGTAGCTATAAAGGGACTTAGTGAACTGCCAAATTTCCATTTTCCAATTAAATACCCACAGATTATAGCTGTGGTTGTCTTAATTTTTATAAGTTATAAATTGTTTTTAAAAACACAGAATTTCTTTTTATTAAAAATATATTTAAAAGGCAAAACATTAAGTCGTTCTAGGTGTTAAATTTATAAATTCAGCAGACACTTGGGAGATTACTCCATGTGACAGTTCTCCCTGCCATTTAGGGTGCAGACACTCATCCTAAAGTCTGTGTAAACACACCAGCCACGTGATCCTCCAAGGTGCTGTATCAGTTTTACCAACGATGCTTCTACTCAGTGCTCAATAAATATTTGTTGAATTAAAGAGATAAAAAGGGGCCAAAAGTGCTTACAAAAAGAAGAAATTATGAAAACATTCAAAACTTTCTGTGGGAAGAACATTAAAAAGTAGTTATACAAAATGGCCCTTGAGCCCTATAGATACCTCTGGAATTTAAAATATTTTCATTATACGGCTTATATATACTATGAGGGAAAAATAAATCGTGAGTAATTCCAACACCAACAATCATACTACTCTCTGAGCTGTATCTGCTTATAGTGGCCTCTAAACTTTGCCTGTTATATTCCAAGAATGGGTTAGCTCCTAGGTAGTGGATGGGATTCTGTGAAAGGAAAAGAACAGCCTTCACTAGATAGAATTACATGGCTCAGCAGTCACCAGTGAAAGTGGGTTAAATATGTGGCTTAAACTAAACACTTCACTGTTCACTTTTCAAATGTGGTTAAGTAAGGATAAATAGGGCTTTTCTTTTACTAATGAACTATAAAGAAAGAAGTTAACTCAGAATTGAGAGCTTCTAAGGTGACTTAAAATTGTTCCCCCAAATCAGATTAAACAGAGAAATGACAAGAATTTAAATTTAGGTTTCAGGAAGAATATTCTATTAATAGTCTTATTAACAGACTTTCTATCCTAATTTTTAAAAGTTATGTCAGGTCATGCTAAGACTATGCTGAATGAAGTTTTCTTTCTCCTCTCACCCTTCCCCTGATCCTTAGGGAGAAAACCAATTCTACTTAGATTTCTTTGATCTCTCAATCCTGGTAACCAGCCTAAGTTTAAAGAAGTAGCTACACTCACAAGTTAACTCAAATTAGATCTCTGGTTGTTTTAGAAAAACATTTTATTTTATGATCATTTAAACTTTTCTTTATGGAAACTTTTTAAAATCTGGTATAAAAGATAACTGCCAGAGACTCACAGATAAATAAAAAAGTATTGTTTAAAAACATAATGTTACCTTCACAATTTAGGGTGAAACCTAGCTATGAAAACTCTGACTTTCCTAAGTGTCAGATAACGGTAGTTATTACTCAAAATATTCCACTGATAGTGTGAGAGTTCATAGCAACATAGGTTTCTACTTTGGGACGAAAGCAGCCCAGAATGCTACTAATAAACTGCATGTCTCAGTCTACCAAAAATAAATAAAACGAAACGAAAAAGGGAAAACATGCTAAGAGATATAATAGTAACAGTAAAAACAAGATTTGTTATGGGTCCATGCCTAAATGGACAAAGAGTAGGAAAGAAAGTTAACTTACTGCAAGAGATTCCATTTGCTACACAGCAAGCATGGCACAGGAAACAAAGGAAAGGAAAGAAAGTACAGGGTCAGTGTAATGCATGCAACAGAAAGCACGGCCCTCTTCTAAGAGCAGAACCGTCAGCAGTATTAGCATTGCTTGCCCAAACTTGATAAATGGTTGCAAATGTTGTACCCATTCAACATGCACAGCGAACCAGTTAAAAACAAGCTCTAATGGGAAACTATCGAAAAACATAATTTGTAATCTTTTAGATTCTCTGATTAGTTGGTTTAGATTTTTGTCAGTCTTGGAGACCAGAAGTCAAAACTTTCATTGCTTGAAGATATTAGTGTTTAAATGTGAATAATATGTGAAGATAGTAAAACTGTGAGGAGACCAACTGAGTAATTTGAAAGAACTATAGCCCCCCTCAAATTATATGATTGCTAAATGTTAGCTAAGGCAGCGTCTTTAATACGTTAGGCTTCATTTCTACCGAACTATGACTATCTAATTAACATAGAATAGAATTAACAATCTTAAGTATCATTTTTTTTAGAGTTAGATTGCCTTCCACATTGAGAATATTTTATAGGACCACTAGATATCGTCATTTCAAAGGACTAAACATTGTCTGTATACTCCCAAACAATTGTGAGCTATGACAAGTAATTTTAAGTTTTTTTCCCAGTAGACGATTTCTAAAAGTAATCTAGAACTGATGGTTAGTCTAGAATAATATAAATTTGTAACGGTGCCATGTTCAACTATAGCTACCATTTTTTTGTGTCACCGTATCATAACCACAGAATTGGTTTAAGGAAAGTTTGGGTATGTGGAAAGAGATAACCACAACCTGATAGAATATTTTTTAAAAAATCAATTTGGCCAATAAATCAATTTGGCCATTCCTAATTATGGGTCAATATATCTGGTTATGGATTTTCAAAATATTTAAGGACCTATCTAACTCAGTTTCTAATTCTTGACAACAAAAAACCCTCCTTTTAAAGCTCTTTCCAAAAAAATCTCTGGGTTATCATCAGTTTAATGTATTATACTTAACATAAGGTACAGTGCATAAAAAAATAAAACTATCAAATTATTTATTAGTATCTTCAAACATAAAGCATCACCACTAACAACCCCCACCCCTAACCCCCTGCCCCTGCCCTCCAAGGGTCTCTTCTTGCCTCACCTGTTACTAATACCATGTGGGTTTGGCACATTGATGACTACTGTATTATGTTTATTGAGTCGTTTTTTTGGACCCCGGGCATGAATACCTTTTAAAGCTTTGAAAGATAAATACCTTTAAGGCTGTGATATAGATTACATAACCTGAGGTATTCACTATTTTCAAGAAAACTTTAACTATGCCTAGAAGTTTTTATAACCAAAACTTACGTAGTGAAATACAGTGCCACACCAGAAAGGAGCACAGGGCCAGAGTCTTAAGTCTATATATACAGAATTTCCACTGTGAAGACTTTTTAGAAAATGTCAAATGTGATTGAAATGTTTAGTATGCACTTTAGCATATAACTGCTTCTACCATGGAATTCACTTTTCAGAAGCCTGGAATGAAGCAAGTGCTAAGTAAATTACATGGTCTTGTGTGAAGAAAACTACTATCTTTTTACTGTTTTCCAAAACAAGGTTGTAATCCAAGAAGGTCATCAAATCAGTTAAAGCAAAATCTTCTCTGTTCAATAAAGGCAAATGAGACTTTCTGACTCCAGCTTGGTGCTAAGGAATTTCATTGTCAATGAATTCCTCCCACTCAGCTCTCAGGGCACAAAACTGTGTTCCTTGGGAGATGGCCAACTTGACGCACAGCAGTTCTCAGCATCCTTCTTAAACTGTCCTTTTTAGGTAGGCTAGTCCAAGCCGCCTTGATATTTATTCTCTCAGAATCTTTCCCTAGACCACAGGCTGGGACCTAGTTTGTATTTAGAGCTCTAAAAATACAGTGAAAAATGCCTTTCTAGGGGGGCTATTTTATGGAAAATGTTAAAACTTCTTTTCCCCCCATGCTAATGTTTTTTCTGTATCCAGGTTTTAAAAATAATCCCTTTAGACATCTTTATAGACGTATCTATGTTTTGATAACTTAAACTTGTTTGGAAAATGTTGTGGGAATGTTACTGTTTTATTTGGTCATAAGAATTTTCTTCAAGCCCTGATATGGCTTGATTTATAAATTGGATTTAGAGGTATGTTTTCTCAAAATGAGAAAAACAGATCAAGAAACCAAGATGTTAAGAACTGAGCATAGACAGGGTAGCTTAAAAGCCCAGAATAATCTAATTCTTATTCATTAACAGTAGCATAGCCATTCTTGTTTCTCTATATTCTGCTCTGAAATGAGTGCTTTGCTTATGACTTAGCCAGTTAGGTAAAAATCTGAGAAATTTTCAACGACAGAAGATGAGCCAGAGTATACTATCTTAGCTATTATTTTTATCATGTTTAATCTCTGAAAGTCACTGGTTTAAACTAAATGGGATAAAATTTAGATAATCTAGCCTCAAGTTGAAGCTTCCCTACTCAAAAATACATAGATGCATGTAATCTCCTAAGCAGGTATGAAAAACATGTACTCACCTGTTGCTAATATCCCTTGGGTCTGGCATATTGATAACTATTGTATTATGTTTGTTGAGTAGTTTTTTTGGACCTTGGCCATGAATATTTTTCAAAGCTTTGAAAGATAAATACCTTTAAGCCTATGATACAGATTACACAGCCTGAGGCGTCTACTGTTTTCAAGGAAACTTTAACTTCAGCAGACATTTCTTTAGTCAATATAGAAAAGAGGATTCCTTATAGAAGAAAGACTGACTATAGCGGAAGGATGATGTTTAGCGGATTGTAATTTAACTGGAGAGACGTCTTATCCTGTTCAACACTTGTTCAATTTGTATAAGAACAGAGGTGTCAGGTTTCTCATTCATGGATTATGCAGGGTTAGGAAATACATAATTGAGAGGGTTAGTATCCAAAAAGACCCTAATAGTTGGAATGATGAATAAGATAAAATGTAGTAGGGCTAAATGTAAATTATTGTACTCGAGTCCAGAGTCAAATGTTTAAGTAGCACTCATAAATATCTGTAGAATTATGAGTGTGTCAACTAAAATCACTTATAACAAATGAAGTGGAAACATCTCCAGCTTTCCCAGGGCCAGCTCTGCAGAACTGGGGACATTCGCTGAGACCTACATTTCCGTTCACTTAAACTACGTAGTAGTAGCCACTTGAGAATGAATTCCACAGGAGATGGAGAGGTCAATGGAAACCAAAATCCTTAATTAGAAGCAGCAGTTTTAAGTCGTGAAGAGATTTGTCTCTCCTCTTGGTATGTGAGGGCTGAGAAAACACTGGAAAAGCAGTGTCTCCAAATGAGTGAGACACATGCAACTCACACTCCTTGTTTTACGTCCTATTGAGTGTATGCCGTGCCTTATTCTAGGAGAATTTGTACTGTAATCACCAAGAAGCCTAAATCATTTACTAATCAAGCCTGTCTTTTAAAAAAAGCCTTCCCTCAAAAATACTTCCCGACTATTAGAAGCACTTTTCTTAGAAACACCATTTGTTTTATTGTTTTGTACATGCATTGAGAATTCTCCTCCAACATACTGCTCTGTGAGCAAGTTCAGCAGACAGGTGCTTGGATCTTATATATGTAGAGATATTTCTCACATAGGCCAAGATTAACACTGCCATTTTTCTTGAAACACACAGCCCTCTCTTTCACTTCCTCATTTTGGGGCCTTAGGTTCAGAGACACATTTTTCTATTATAAGAAAAACACAATAGTCCAAGCAATGATTGGCACCTTGCTCTTGCCTTCAGTATTAGGAATTCGATGTGCAGTGAGGACGATGGAGAGCAGACCACAGGGGCAGCCGACATTCAGCTCTAGGTAATGGTTGCCACTTAGGAAGGCAGGCCCAGTGTTGCTAGCTTTTCTTTTCCAGAGACACCAGAAATCCTATTTTGGGTGTATGTGTGTATGTGAACAATTTTAATTTTTAAATGTTGGGTCAATTAAAAAAACACTGTACAAGCTTAATAAAACATGTCTGTGAATTGATTATAGCTTACAGGCCACCAGTGTGTAACCTTTCTTCGCTAATTTGATGTCATACAACTTCATGTTGAAAACAGAAGAAAAATCTGAAAATATTCAACACCTAGCAAAGAGTTATATTCTTTTACACAAACAATTCCACAGCAATTTCTCACTTACGTCACCTGTTAAGAATGACGAGAAATCAGCTACTGGCAAAGACCAGACCAGACTGGGTAGGGCTTGGGGGTGGGAAGACTTCACATGCCTCTTGGTACACGGTTGCTATCTCTGGCAGACCGATATCTCTAACTGCTCAAGAATTTACTTTGCTAGGTTTGGTAAGGTAAGTACTAATCCTTTCATAAAGTACATACTTCTTTGAAATAGAATATACATGTGTAATAATTATTGGCATATTAACTTTGCAATTGACATCCAGACATAGATTCAAGTTATAAGTTCACTTCCTATCCACATTCTATTGTCCCCATGCAAAGGGTGCTCAGAGTAATTGGCAACATCAAACTATTCCAGAAGACAGAGAACCTGACTAAAAAAAAGAGTTGGAGAGAATCACTTGAGGATAAGCAGTGCTCTGACGTCAAACATTTGTTGGATTTTGCTTTGGGATGGAAGACAAATGGTAGCTCTAATCAGCAAAATATCATCTTTACCAACTGAGGACATAAGATCAGTATTTAAGTGGAGTGACACCATCTTTTCTCCTCAAGGCCTACCTTAAAGATGATTTCTCATCCTCTGAAGGGTGCACAATCTGAAATGCTTTTCCAGTAGTGATGATGTGTAATTCCAAGGTAATACCTTCTCCACCTAGACCAGGCAGCAGCCTCCTAACCTGTCTTCCTTAATCCACTCTTGCCCACTTCCATAGTTTCCATAGCAGAGTGGGAGAGCCCTCATCTAATCATACCCACCTGTTAAAATTTTCACTTGCTTACCATTGCTGTTAAGATAAACACCCTCCATGGAGAAGCCTTCCCAGAACCACCCTCCACATCTGATCAGGTTCTCTTGCTATCTTCTTTCATAGCTTACTGTTCTTTCCTTTCCTTCATGGCACTTAGTGCAGTTTACACCTGTATAATTTTTTGATCAACATCTGTCTCCCTGACAAGATCAGAGGCTCCCTGAGAGCAGAGGCCTGTCTATCATTCACTGTTGTGTCCACCATGTGGGCCACAAAGGAGGCACTCAGTACGTAACTGCAGAATGAATGATTTTAATCTGTACACACTCTTCTGCCTAATTTCCTTTACAATGTGGCATACATTTACAAACCAGCTGGTGTGAGGTGTGTACTTAGAGCACTTCTAAAATGAGGAAAAAAATCTGTTTTAGAGCAATTACTGAAAGGTCAACAAAGACTTACTTTCTTCATTGAAGGAACTAAGTGGTTTAGTGAAGAATTAATGAAAATTGGTTTTATATTCTGAATGAAGAACAGATTTATTAGGAAATTATTAGTATAGTTAGTGTCCAGTAGAAATGTTATTTTTATACCTTTACTTTTCCAAAAAGAAGAAAACCCCCCCAAATCCCATCAGCACACAGTCATGCTTGGCTTGAACGTCATTCTGTCTTACTCTGTTGGTGTTGTGTGAATGTATGGGATGACTCATTCCGCCTCTTCCTTTCTCAAGTTCCATGCTTCTTGGGTGGATCAAAACCAACACACAATGTCAGAGTACAGAAAAGATAATTCTAACAGGCTTTTATTACCTTTTCTTCTGAGTCCCCTGGTTGACAAGTAATTACTCCATCTCTTGATCCTCCTGCAAATGTTGCCTTACAATTTGCAAGCCACTGTTGTCAGAAAGAGATACAGATGTAGGTAAATTCAGTGATGTCCGGAGAATATTTTTATCATCAGTTCTCGGGGAAAATCAATTAAGTTTCTCATCACAGTAAAATTAAATTTTGCTATAATGACTTTTTGAAAATCAGTTTTTTGATTAAAGATTAACAATTTGAAATTAAAATATCTATTTATATGGGTTCAGTGATGGTCATTTAAAAATATGATTTCAACATTGTGATACATTACACCGAAGAAGGGTTTCACCAGACCATCCCTAATTTATGTATAAATTAAAACGAATTTATATATGGTTAGAAACCTTTGATGTGATTAAGGTTAGGAGATAGGACCGGCACTTCCTCATGGGCTGGGTGACTCTGGACAATGCAGCCTGACTCACGGCACATCTACCTCTCTGTTAGGTTGAGGTGGCTTCTATGGGGCAGGTCTACTTCACTGTAACAAAGGCTATAATAATAATAGCTCAGCTATTTAGAGATTCTGCCAGTCTTAAGCATCTGTCTTAAGCATCTGGGATAGTAACTAAGACAGATGTGAAAAGGAACCTTTGGGCCGAAAACAATAATTTGAATAACAATAAACTGAAGAACTAAAATTCACACTTGACATTGAAAGACTGGTTTGTTCACCAACCAGAATGAAAGGATTACTTTTATTAACTGATGAGTGAGAAACTGGAAAACAATGATAGGGAAAGAGCCACAGAAACAGAAGACAAAGTGAATTGTTACAGAATGTCAGAACTCTTGTCCTAGGACAGGTCATGAGAAGATCAATAACAATAAAAAAACCAGTAACTTTACAATGAATCTCTTCTATGTATGAGGCACTGTGCTGGGCAGTTTACATATGTTATTTCTACGTTAAAGGCAATATTGTGTTGAGTTTGAGAGCATGAACCTTCGAATCCCACAGACCTGGGTTTCAGTACCACTCTTTACCTTTTTGCTAATGAGGATAATAATAGCAACTCCCAGGGTAGTTGTGAGCATTTAATGATTTAATTTAAGATATTTAACTCTTATCAGGTTGTGGATACATAGAAAGGACTCAGGAAATGAAAACTGCTATGACTATTATAATCGTTATATCCTTACAACAATTTTGCAAATTATCATTATCACTGTCTTATAGATGGTGAATCTGAGATGAGAGATGATAAGTAATTTATTCAAGGTCACTAACCCTTAAGTAACTAAGCTGCGATTTGAACCCAAGTCTATCTGACTTCAAAATCCTCTTTCTGTAGTGCCTGGCATACTATAGGAAGTGCTCCACAGATATTGCACACGATTATTTGTAGGAAATCAGGGGTTTGCATGGATGGTTTCTGGATCACTTCTGTCTCTAATATTTTACAATCTAGAACTTTGAAGAAAGAAAAAAGTAAAGAGCAGGAGCTGAGGCCAAGAGAAGCCATGGGGACAGGGACAAATAGCTACCAAGAGTGGTTAAGAGGAGAGAGGTGAAATCCATCTCAACTAGTTTTGAGTCAGGCTGACACTGGAAGGAAGTGATTAATAATTTTAAGTCTCTGGGAAAAGAAAAGCTGTAACATTGATAAAGTGACATATCAAGCAGATACCCACTTTTTCCAATTCCTTAGTAGGGAAATTATGAGGCTAAAAATGAAAGCTGAAAAATTTCTCTTTTGTAGATACCACTTAATTTTTTTTGTGAGGAAGATCGGCCCTGAGCTAACATCTGCCAATCCTCCTCTTTTTGCTGAGGAAGACTGGCCCTGGGCTAAGATCCATGCCCATCTTCCTCCACTTTATATGGGACGCCGCCACAGCATGGCTTGACAAGCGGCGCGTCGGTGCGCACCCGGGATCCGAACTGGTGAACCCCGGGCCACCGCAGCGGAGCACGTGCACTTAACTGCTTGTACCACCGGGGCTGGCCCCTGTAGATAATATTTTTATATAAGCCATACGATTGACAGTTCTACCACCATTAAATTGGAATTGTAAGCCCTAACAAAGGAATAGATGAAGTCTCTCTTCTGTTCCCAAAAGAGCTTCTCTTAGGTTAATCACAACACATCCCAAGAGCTCAATGTTTGGGTTCATTTAGTTTTAACTGAACTTATATGCACAGAAACACAAAAGCTTACTGAGAGAGTGGCCTCTTTTCTGTTGTTGTAGGTATCCAAATATTCTTGGAGTTCTAAAACACTGAACTTGAGCTTGTCCAGAAGTCCACAAGAAAGGAGCTAAAGACAGGAAAATAATTTGTATTAAAACAACTAGAGAGATACCAAGACAAAGGCATGGCTACACAAATAGAAAAGTATATTTAGAAGTAGTGTAAAGTAGGGAGCAGTGGCATCCATTTTAATAAGCTGTGAAATTGGTAATTTTGCTCCACTCTCAGCTGTAATTGTAACTGAATACTAGCTTGCTAATCCAAATATGCTATGAAAATATTCATGTTTTCCCATATCAGTATAGACAGACAAATCTTAACAAGTAGTATTCCATAGAAGCCCACATGAAGATATATCCGTTTCATGCATGAACTCTAGTATCTTCATCTAGTAATACTCCAAGTAGTGTGAAGACAGATCTCCAAGTAGACTTTCAAACTGATTTTGTATTTAATCTGTACTTTAAATCACTTAAGATAGAATGATTTCTCATACTGTATTTCTTGCTACAAGACAGCCAACCATCAATCAAGTTTTTGGAAAGACTGACTCTTCAGAGGCTTTTAAAATCAAAGCACATCCTCATTGGTTCTGAACTGTGGTTATTAGTCAGCATATGAGGTGGTTCTGTGATATGCGTGGGGGATGTCAAGAAAGGCAACACACGCCTCCTACTATCAAAGAGTTGCAGGGTTAGAGTTATATTCATAAAGTCGCGACTCAGCAGTCAGCCAGAGACTGTTTTAATCATCCTTTAAACTCATCATTTGCAGTTTGGGCTGGATGAATCTATGCAGAGGGCAATCAGTCTCTATTTGAGACTTGGGAGTGGGGAAACTGATGACATGTTGCCCCTGGAGACCCATCTGGCTGGCCAGCCTGGCATGGTGGGGACTGGCTAGGTCAGCCCTGGGTGGTTAGCTCACCATATTCACAGCTGTCAAAGTCAGAATCATCGAAGAGAGGTGCCAAGGACACGGAGCGAGCACAGAGGTAGATTTTTCTCCTGATTCTCTGAAATGAGTTTGCCTTGGTCTGGGCTGGCAACGTATAGTCATTACAGTGCAGGCTCAGGCCTTTGGGAGTCATGTCACAACACAGGGCTGCCTTGCAAGCACCGAAAGTGTCTTTAAAACAAACCACAACACAAAGAAGCTTCCCTGAAGTTCCACAGCATAAGCTGGGCAGTCCATTCACACCAGGGCAGGACTGGGATACTCACAGTCTCCGCATCCACGAAAAGTGTCGGGCATTCAGAGCAGGAGGTGAGCATCTGGGAAGAGCTAACAAACTTGGATCCGATTCCCCGGAGGTTATCTCCAAGGTAACTGGCTGCATCACAGGTCAGGAAGCAGAACCTTTTCTGAATATTCTGCAAGGCAAGATAATTACCGTTGGTAAAGGCCAAATTTTAACTTCTGTACTAGAAAAAACTATTTTTTTAATCTTTATAAAATATCAAATGAGCATGGGTCCTCAGTGTAGGGGGGAATAGAGAGCACAGTGAATGTTTGTGTTAAGTCAACTAAATAATCACCCAGTATGGACAAAGTTTCTTCCTAAAATTTCATTTCCCAATGTGTGGATGCTCATATAATCTTTTAAATAAATGCTGCTTTTCTTTTTGCTGATGGCCAGTGCCAGTCAGCAGCTTGAGTCCTCCTAGCTTGTTCATCTGATCAGTGAGCAGTTACTGAGATTACTTCAATGCCGGTGAGACAAAAAAGGTCGCGAGATGTAACTCCTTTCTGTTTCCCAAGATCAGAGCTCCCAGAGACAAGGCACTGAACTAGTGCCATTTGTGCCTCTGAAGAATGAGAGTAAACGCTACACAGGACCTAGAATGACATCTCCCTCTGAGAGCATGTCTGATCTGGTGCTGTAACTCTGTCCTATAGCTTTGCATACATCAACTCATTAATCCTGACAATCAGGTGAAGAAACTGAGGTTAAGAGACGTTAAATGACTCACTTGAGGTCATGCAACTAGTAAGTGATAGAGAAAGGATGAGCCTGACTCCAAAGTTCACATTCCTTCTGAAAATCTACAATGCTTCCTAAAAGTTACTGTTCCTCCTGTACTGCCTGAGGGAAAAAAACACTATTAGGAAGAATCTGATTCACTGTGCCTGTGTTAGTGCCAAAATAAGAACATTTTTAGTTCTAAACTTACAACGCACAATAAAAAGAACAAAATATTTAACCAAAAAAATAATTCCAGTCCTAGGTATTGGCTTTCCCGAAAGAGATGTTATACCCTTTGAGCTGTAGAACCTAATCCGTGAGAAATTCTCTCTGCCCTGTTATGAGGAAATTAGCATGTCCCCCAAACAACGGCACACTTTTGTTGATTGATATATCTTTATGGTGTTAAGTTAGTTTTATATGCAATTAAATAAAATACAAAAAAAAAAAGCTCCAAACCAAAAACAAAAACCCTAAAACCTGACAGAATGTTAGAGCTGAAAGGAATGGTAAATGCCATGTCTACCATCACCCAGCTAGTTGAGTGGCAGAGCTGGGACTAGGATTCAGTTTCCCCAAATACTTTGGGTTCTTTCCATCTTACCTAAGGATAACGTGAGATCTAGGTTTATTTTTTATTGTACTGAGAAGCTAGATCTGTCAGGGAACTTTAGAGCCACATATAAAGGCAGGTGATATTTAGGAGATATAAATTCAGTTTTGTCCTCACCTGACCTCCATATAAACATGTCATATAATTTGGTGGCACTGTGTGATAAAATGACAATATTCTAACACAAGGGCAGCAGGGAGGAAATATAATGACTGAAGTACTTGGAAAGATGTCTACACTAGACTAACAGAAACCATTTTCTTGTTTTTAAAACCAAATTATTTTTGCAATTACCTCCTCTCTACCCATTCCAAAATGCAACCAAATACAGGGAAACATGGTGTTCAGACTCACATGAAAATGTTGGAAAACAGTCAACAGACATGGCGAGGACATGACAAGAGATTAGTAGACTGCATATCTGAAATGTATTTCATTTCTAGCATATTTGTTAATACCTATTTTGCTACTAGTATTTCTCTCAATCATATAGCATTTGATGATAGTTGAGAAAGTTCTTAAGGCTAAATATAATATTAAAAAAAAAGAAATTGAAGAAGACACAAAGAAATGGAAAGATATTCCGTGCTCTTGGATTGGAAGAATTAACATAGTTAAGATGTCCATACTTCCTAAAG